TTTAGGTCTAGGCTAAATATTACTTTATTACCGTTATTAAAATATAATAGCGTCTAGCTAGGTAGTTAGTTATCTATAAAGACATCCTTAATAGGTTTATTATTACGTTTTTATAAATAAAAATAGCTATTTTATTTAAGTATAAAATACTAAAGGTATTTATTATCTAAGTATTCTATTTAAAATAATTCTTTATAAAAGGGGTCCTCGGGGTCGAATAAAGAGTAGTCTTTATCTATATGTTACGGCCAGCTAGTCGTAGTGAGTATGTTAACAGAAGTTAAGGCTGCGAAGGCTAAGTAAACAGTGTCGTAGTCGTGGATAGCTTCCCCGAAGCTATGTCTGTAAGTCGTAAGGTAGGTAAGGCTTCGGTGATCAATCGTAGTCTTATCAGAAGGGGTTCTCAGTGAAGATAGCTGAAAGCGATCGTAAGATCTGATACTAAGTTGATTGCTGAAGAAGCTATGGGAAGTCTGTCCTTGAGCCCGGCTCAAGTCCATACTATATACAAGTCTCGTTCCTGAACATATCCTTTGTGATGTCTCTGTTCACTATTGTCCGACTGTTCACCGAACGGTCGTCCGTCCCACTTATCCACGATCATACGTCCCACTTATTCGCGGGCGTCCGTTCCTTATCTTATCGTGTGATCGTGGTCACGTGACTTGTCCATAGTTCTTCCGTCCCGAGAGGAGTCATCCTGAGTCCGTTGCTTCTGCATATATGGTGTGGTAGCCGCCGTAGGTCCTGTGGGGCAGGCCCTGGCCTTGTCATGCGTGTTGGGTCGTAACACTATCTTAGGTATAATAGCTCCTTTATAATAGTAATTAAGGGGTGTATTACGTAATAAGGATAGGGACCGTACTCGACAAAGTGCCTATTACGTACTATATTACGTATATCTCACTTATATCCTATATATAGACCTTTCTCTTTTATTTATTTCTATTTTAATAGGTTAAGCCACTTTACTATACTCCGTATGCCCATTGCTATGTGCCATAACTCGTGACACCTTTGGACATGCGATGGGTAAGATGTTGAAAACACTATGCTTTCTTTGAGGCAACGAGTGCAATCCTAGAACTGGAGAATAGAACGAGATTCAGACAACACCGGGGGATGTGGAGGGCTTACCGAAGGGAGTATGCGGGAGCGGCGCAGACCAGCGGCGTGAATAAATAGTAGGTAGGTAGACATGGAAGCACGGATAAAGATACCCTTGACGGTTATGCGAGTACTCGGTTAGGTAAGGTAGATAACGGCACCATTCATCTGCCCCATGATGTTACCGGCTGGGAATCGCCTGTGCACGCCAGAAGAGGTAAAAGGACTTTTGTACGAAGCCTCGGCCTGGGGAATCTACCGCTGCAGAATGCTACCAATTGATTACCAAGTATTCACTTGGATGTGCGACTCTGTTGAACCACATGATTCGGCCTCGGGCTTCTTTGCTAAGCCAATGTTTCGGGGCCTTCTTGTAATGTTGGGGCACTCGGTTGTACTGGTTCAGAATCTCGGATTGTCTGGCTGCTTTATCATGAAGGTTATCAGACCTCCAAGCAGCCGGATTCCTGATCTGCCAATGCCCAGAGCAGCTTCAAAAAGGGGTCCGTCCCATCGTACTCGGCAGCATCGCTCCACGGCCGCGATCCCTGGTAAGCTCAATCGCTCGTTGTCCTGCCGAGGTTCGGCCCATTTCATTCAAGACAAGGATTAGACTCGGCCGGCGGGTTGGATGCCGAGAGGTGCAGAATCGGTTCCCAAGTCCCCCACTGCCGGAGGCCTTGACCGAATTTGAGTGGGGCCGCTGAGGGAACCGCGGCACCGAGCAAGACTCAGCACTTGCCACGGATTACTCCTATTTTGGCGAGCTTATACCATCTGATTGAATGCTAAACCACCGCAGCCGGACGCGAGTCGATTAATGGGCGATTTGATATATAGCTAGCAGTGTTTTGAATACTACAAAGAACGTCACGAAACGACATTCGAGCGACAGTCACATCCAACGTGTGTTCTTAATGATGATGTACTTTCTACGATAGTGGTATTACCTATTGGGGCGAGAAATTATTTATATGGCCAATCATAGTTCGCAGCCAGGTATTCCACCAGTGCCGCCCCAACTAATGTAAGGACGCAGGCTATTCATGGAGTGATTCCGAGAACTACGTATTATGAGATTTGGCAGAGTGCCTGAAAAGTACTGATACGCTTCCTCATTCATAAAGCTTGGACGTACTTGTCTTTTTGCGTTTGTTGTTTTCATCTTGGGCTCATTCTTGAGTGAATGCGTCGGTTTAGGAACCTCAGCTCGCCGCACTGATCACCTGGGAGACTCCCCGAAGTATCGCAGTCATGGATACTAGCTGATAAGTCAGGCACCATACTTATGAGCAATAAAGGTGTCTCGTACTTCGTGCATCTTAATTGGGAATTCGATGGACAGGCTATCATGTATAACATAGGAAACCTGGACATCAGGGAGCGGATTACGAGCTTACTCTCGTAATACTACATCAAGGGAGGAAAAAGCTCTACCAACGGCTATATGCGCCACTAAGGCGTTGTTCATTGCCGCAGAACAGAGAAAACGGATTACAGAAATCATGCAACACAATTGAGAACAGTTTTGAGATTCGTTCCTTTCTGAATCAATTTATACTAGTCGCCTCGGCTTGAACCTCGTCGAATTCAGTCCAGTTGTTTAGCGAACATGACTACAAAATTGCAGTGCCATTAACATGGCTGCTAACCCCCCCTTGAAGCTATGTAAGTAAAATACTACTTGTTGAGGAAGAATGAGATGCTTACGTGGACAATTTGCCGGTGCGCTGGTGAAGAAGAATGTCCACCGGTTCGTTTCGCGACATCGACGAGCCAATGATTCTAGGTTGAGCATCTCACCCAAAGGCATTCCCCATAGAGATAGGATATACTCGTGAAGGTGGTATTCTGACATTCTCAGTCAGCGAATCCCCAGCCGCAAGCACATGCACTTCTCTGGTTCGGAGAATGAGGCAAGAAAAGCACAACTAACCAGCCTTGGTTGGCCAGGCTTCAAACGTGGGCGAGTCCCCGGCAACAGCAGCAAAGTAGCAGTCATGCAGCCAGTCAAGTATAGACTCCTCTTGAGCCACGCCTCCAAACTTGATTTCTTTGTGACCCCTGAGCCCTAGATGGGCGCGTTCGGTTGGACTTTTACTGTGATAAGCCTCGACCCACCCACTCCGGATAAAGAGGATGTCGCCAATCTCAATGTCGCCTCCTTGCGCCTTAGGCCGGATGTCTATGCCCTGCGCTCGGCCACATTCGAGCAAGTCTTGATAACATATGCTGCAAGTGTCGTATGGATCAAAATCAAGACCCTTGGCGTGGGCATAAGAGCAGAAATCCAGAAGCACGCCGCGGCCAGCGATGCCACGCTCAGCCCAGTGGTGAATTGAGCATTTCAGATTACTGGCCGGTCCCTCGATGTTTTGTCCCTTTGTCTGTTTTGAAGGCGTATTCTATTAATTTCATCACGGTTCACAGAGCAGGAGGTGTATGAGCGTCCTACATTGTTGTAAAATGTCCCGGAAGGTAGATGCGCAAACTGGTGTATATCAGCATTCGAGATGTAGTACACCCACGAGGGGGATGGTACATACATGTCTGAAGCCGTCCCATTGAGTTCCGCTCTGGGTGTTCATGTAGTAGTTGTCATCATAAAATAATCCAGGAGCCAGAGTCTTGATGTGGTGGACAAAGGGCTCTCGATTGAAGGCAGGCTGGCCTGGGACGTCGAGAGGCAGGCTACGCAGTATTAAGACAAAGTTATGCCGGTGGGATTCGGGGGTTCTGTACTTTACCGGTATAACCTCGCCACTTTTAATTGCTGTGGATGCAGCCAGCACACGGGTGCGGGTGAGAAGGTTGAGGCGGCCAACCTGACGGCTATGAGCTCACATACTCTTGTGCAAAAGGGACAATGACAGGCACATTATCTTCAGCGCCCCAAACCCAGGCAGCATCTTTTGGGGCTCCCGGAATGACAGGCAAGTCTCGTCGGAGTGGAAAAGATATACTTTCGGGGTTCCAGGTCTCGGGCACTTGAACACGCTCGGCATCTTGAGAGGGCACCATGGTTGAGAATGGTAGGCTTCGAGCGACAGGGCACTAACGGGGAAACAATGTAGCCAAAGGAGATATTTCAGAAACGTAGATCGCTAGCTGAGAGGATAAAGTAGTGAGTTATGAATTTACGAAGTATACCAGCCCTGATACGGGGCTGGAACTATGACGGCACCAGCGCCTGTCTTTTCCCGGTGAGGGGTTGCCAGCCGCACGGGGTGCGTAGCCGGGCCCTGTTCATGGCGCCTGATGCCCCAAATTTCCACTTGATACCGAGTCACTGAGTGTTCAGAAAATGATAATGATAGTTATAAATTGAACCTTTTTTTTTTTTTTGTTCTTCTAGAGAATAGTCGCACTAGGAGAGTACTCCAATCAACCATCGGGATGAAGTAGAGAATTTGACTTAGGTAGCCCGACACGAACGATTCTGCATGCGCCGAGCCAATCGGCAGTCTCTGAGCGTGCCGAGCTTGAGAGAACTTGAGCTTGACTAATCACCTAAATGGCACATCGTAATGAAGAGGTAATGGGCCAAGCTCTGAGCTCCTTGCCGGTGCTATGCTTTTCCCGGACACAGGAGCTATATTTTTTTTTCAATAGTTTGACAAAACTCGTCCTCAATGCCGGACTAATCCAGAATTCTACGCGCAGGATTTCTCAATTTTACGTTTATTCTGCCATCGCCCGGGCAAGTGCTTGTTCATCGATAGCCCCCCATTCGTCAAAGTCAACAGAAGCTGTAGCCAGCCAGTCGGTAGCAGGGTGTGGGTCTGGGGACAGTGCCGCGGTAAGTGGAGCTTGAGCCTAGATGCCTACTAGGTGTTATTAGTGTAGGTTGCCGAGGCCAAACGACGACAAAGAGACAGCACAATCTACCTTAGGTAAAGCGAAAGGCTTCAAGACTGTTACGGAACAAACCACTGGATCATCATGTAGCTTGGACGGGAGCATTCATCCATGAAACCATGATTGTCCGCGAAAAGTTCGGGCTCGTTAGGAGGAGCAGTTGCTGCTGACGGTGATAGTATCGATAGTATAAAAGTGATGAACTAGTCACAAATGTCTGAACTAGTCCCTAGAAGCACCTGGCGGCGCAGAGATTTTACGTCTCGCTGCACATGGCACGACGCGCTAAAATGGGACCCCATGGCACAATTGAGTTTACACCTTCGATAGTGAACCCAAAACCGAATCAATTGGAGGGCCAATAATTCTCTACACAACTCTCGCATTTCTCCTTCTGCTAATGTCCGCCGTTTTGTCCCCGTCTGGATATCCCCAAGCATCGACGCCGCAAGTGCCCCATCTTCGCCACCAGCGATATCCATACGACACACCCTTTTTGGCTGTCCAGTGATTGTCTGGATTCCGTCGAACCCGAGGGCGGCCATGTAAGCCTGGATCGTGTCAGCCGTCAGCTCCTCAGATTTGCGTCACTCGACTTTAGACTCACATCTCCCCTTGTATTTCTTCGTCCGCGGGCGCTTCGTAAACTTTTGGCACTCGGCACAGTATCTCAGGTCTCCCATCGATCTGCGGAGTCTTGCATATAGCGGGCACGTGGTACACGAGCAGTGCCTACACCACTGCCGCCGGCACATGGTGTGTTCGGTGGCATACGATCGACAGGGCGTCCAATTTGAACATCTCCTCGGGGGCTCAGCGTACTTGTAGACATGGCGTTTCCTCCGATGCCAGTATTTGTCCTGGACAACGCCGATTGCTGAAGTGTCACCGCATTCGCACTTGAGCGCTTCTGGGGGGTGAACTTGGTCGTAGGAGAGTAGCGAGGGTTTTGCCGGGGATGAGTGGAAGCATCATGGCGCGGAAAGAGTGTGATGCCAGAGACATGCAGATGAGGTCGTTTTGCTGGCAGTGTGAAAGAATCTCAAGTTGAAGCTCGGGTGGGAGTCTGGCGAAGATGGCGAATGAGAATTGTGTAAGTGGTTGGGAAGACTTGACAGGGGTGCCTTTTCCGGACATGGTGCATGAGGCTGAGATGGTGTCAAAATATTCGAAGGCCAGAAACATCAAAGAGATGGTAGCTTGAAAATATCTTGTATGCCAGGGCAAATTGATGAATTTCTTCTGGAAAGCTCACAGAAAATGAGGTTCAATCTACAAGCTTTTGTATTCGACGATGGGCTGCATTTAACCCTTGTTCTGATAGCCGTTAGCGGGTGTTGCCTGCTCTCAAGCCAGCTGGCCCCACAAATCTGCCTAAACATCGTGACACCACACGATGGACGGAAGCGTTAGAATAGGAAATAGGACGGCCAATACGTTTCGGAACGATCACGTTGCTCGGTGATCATCGAATTACACTGCGACTATCTGTCAAAAGCCCCATCAGCCTAAGTGGATCTCAATACTCAGACAACATCATCCTCATCCGCCTCCTCCAACCTCTGCTTCGCGATTTCCTCTAGGTTTCTGATGGCACCTTCGACCACATCAATATCTTCGAACTCCTCATCAGATACTTCTTCATCGGATTCACCAGCCTCCTCATTTGAAACACCGGCAGCGCTAATCAGATGATTCATCACACTAATGCGGTATCTGAGTTCGAGGTCCCAATTTGGAAGATCGTCTTGCGTCTTTGCAGTGATATCAAATTTGTGGCCATCACTAATTCCGCGCTGGGTCACTGAAGAAACGAGGCGGGGTTTTTGAGGCTCGTCGTCGCCGAGCTGGAAATTCTCCAGCAGCTCATAGGGATCTTGCGCCAGATCGCTTCTCCATGCGCGTAGTTCGTATTGCCTCGCCTGTGTCTGCAGCAAATGCACGCGCAAGCGAATGGAGTGGTCGCCGTTCGATTGGGTGCCTCTATTGATTGGCTGCAGGGCTAGTCTGCCGTCGTTAAACATTCGACGCGGAATACGGTCCAGGCAGATCAGGTTGACGGTAGAGTCCAGGTCGACCATTCTGAGAGCATCAGTGAATCTTTGAGCTGTCCCCCGTCCGAAAACTTTTATTAGAGCGTGCACGCTCGTCACGATCGTGCCACTCTTCTTGATGGAGGCAAAAGGGTAGATATGAGCAGCTTCACAGTATCTGGTGCCTAGCAAAGGGCATGTCCCATTGTCCCGCTGCTTTGCCTATCGAGAATTAGCTTACCACTTACTGAATTGAGAGAACATCTCCTGGCTCACCATTTGAACCGCTCGCTTGTTCCTGTACTTCTTCTGGTTGCCTGGCGAACTTGGTGAACCAGATTGCGCAGACTGCTGTCGGTCTCCGGAACCTGCCTTCCCAGGAGAATTCTGCAGAGGTGATAAGAGCGGTCGTGGCCTGATGCTGCTCTTCGTTGGGGTGCTTCTTGGACTGCGGGTTGCCGGTTCTCTTCGTGGGCACTTGGCACTTGGAGACGACGCAGCGGAGTCCACCTCAATATGGTCGGGAGTCTTGTCTTTGATTCAATATATCAGCGCGATGAATAGCACTCAATAGTCTGGGAGATAGAACTTACCCAATGCCACAAGCTGTTGGACCGCCTCGCTGATAAGCATCAGAGACGGACCAGCATCTTCCACGGACGACTCTTTGAGGATATCCCTGGAGTTCTAAAGCTCGGATAAGTCGTTACTCATGCAAGCCGCCCAAGGGTAAGGTGTATGGAGGTCTTCGGGTATGGAGCTAGTGGTTTTACCGTCGAGAAACTTCATGCGCTTGATATCTTCCAAGATTTCCACCCGAGCCTCACAATTATTCAGATAGAGCTTTGATTTTACGGATGACCAGGGGCAACTGAGGGGATCGTTTACCTCTTGAAGATGTTCGTCCCTTATTCCCTTTTGGTTGGAATGGTTTATAATTTGCTTGAATCGCGAAATGCTGTGTATGATCGTGTTTATACTGAGAAATGTTCTCCCAGAGCTTGCGAGTCAGTATGTGTCTGGTCAAGTCGGGGGTAGAGGAGGACACGATGGGCTGGAGTGGAGATTAAGCTTCTTCCAGTGTGGTGTATCCTACAGACCTCGACGAGTCCTGCTGGACGCTCTTCTTCAAGAATTAGAATGCTACATGGAATTGGTGATTAAGGGAACAAACGAAAATGCTTGGACAGACCTGGTTGGAGCACGGTACCAAAGGGGGGGGGGGGGGGGGGTTGAGAGCAAAAGTCAAAATCTCAAGCCAGTCATGACCACACAGATGACAGAAAGAGGTCAAGGAAATTAGAACCTTTGCGAACACTCCACCAATCAGACTTGGAATGCGCATGGGTGGAGAAGGCTGTCGAAAATGCCGACGTACCTGGATGAACAAGGTAGCATAATAGAGGTCAGCTCTCTGTTAATTTGATAGGTTTATGTGATTTGTTGCCATGACAGATCTCCAAACCAACTTTTTTCAGCCTATGGTATGGTTATACTTGATCTTTATTCAGTCCATCCTATGCTTAAACCGGCGTGATGGCTTTTGTTCAAGACAAGCCAACTGTGAACAAAGTGATCTAAGCATTCACTTCAAAAATGCAAATGGCATATACCATGCAATATAAATACAGGGATAGCAAGGATGGCAATGATGTAAGAGTATGAAGAAGCAGGATAAGAGTTTGGTAAAGATCCTAAACTTAAACCCGAATACTATTCCACTCTTCCATTCTACTAGTACGTTGTCTATAACTGAGAAATAAATACTTCATCAGATGCGCTCCTAGATCTTGAGTCCTAAACTGGAGCCTTTTAACGATATTTGGGATAAAGTTTGCTATGAAATAAACCGTATGAATGGGTTGAGTAAAATGAGTACAATACGTGGTTCATGGGCGGAAGTGGTCTTCAGCCCAACTGCGAACACGGTTAAAGTTGCGGCATGTGTGAGGTTCTTTCCAGTCGGCAACAACCCTGCCGGCATCATCCGACCAGCTGAAAACCATGGGAGTCAGGTCACCGTGACATTGTACCGTCTGCCTAAGATAGTCAAGACAGTGGTCTATAGCTGCAATTAGCCGCACTGTTTTTGAACTTTAGGACAGAAGCATGGCTTACCAACGTGCATCCTGTGAATTCTGGGGCTTTCTTCCTCCTTGTAATAATCTGGATCCAGAGCCATCCTCACTTTATTCTTCAACACGTGTTAGCCATCATTGCAGGCGAACCGCGGGCCAGAGGTACTTCACCACGCAATGGAGGGTATGCATCACATCTAAACTAGAAAATCTTAGTTCGTTGCTGAAAACGCTACCTGTCGGAATGCAAAACTTACGCCACCTCGTAGTTGCCGTGGCTGTCTTTCCACGTGCGCCCAGCCATGCTCGATGCTTCGCTCCCAACAAGGTTCATGTACTGGCCTAAACTTGGTCAATGTGGTTTCGGTCGGATTCCCTCGGCCAGTTCACCTTTTAGCAGACTCTTCCATGCTGCATCAATCTCTGGCGATGGAGGCCCGACGTATTGAGGCTGTCCTTCAATTACCTCACGGTACAGGGTCCCATTCTTGTAGAAGTGAAGGCCACCAGTGAAACGTACTGTTTCACTGGCAAGTACACCTTTGATTGGTTCTTTGTAGCTCTCAATGTCAGCTCGTGGTCTGCCTTTTGTATGAGACCACTGTCTGGCATACCTAGTTCGGTAGGGAAGCCTTTGAGGAATCCGCTGTCGATGCGAGCGCCTGCTAGCCGAGTGTGAAGAACAAACAAGGCAATGACAAGAATAGGGAAAATGGCAAATAATAGCAATGAAATGAAGTAATAAGACCTAGAAACTGACACAATCGGCGACGAGGGCCTTCTTCGCAAAGGCAGCTGGTCTTCGCTACATTCGGAGCTCTCTTCTACAGACACATACTGCGTTGACTTGTCTGCCTTGAAGAAGTTCATGGTAACTAAAGTTTGTGTGGGAGAATAGATCAGTGACGGGTGACCACTTGGTCCATCAAAGGGAGGTTCTGGTTTTGGGGATTAATGAACCCCGACTGCAACGACCACAAGGTGCCCTACGACTAATGTGTCATCCAATGGCAACAAAGATCGTCCGGTACTTGACTGCAATGCCGGCAAAAGAATGCCGTTCGAGTGTGAACTGCTAGAGAAACAACTCAAAATAGGCACTATTTCGAAAGCGGGTTCGCCGAACGCCCGCAGATGTCGTTGGACTTTTCCGTCTCTGGCTGGCGACTCAGTCCGGGGTGGAGCTATTCGGGTGCAAATGACGACTCCCTCCCGTTGAAGCTTTGACTGCCAAAAGTCAAAACATGGGACCGACACAAACTCAATGGCAGAGCTGCGTTGATCTTGACATCGTCACATTGACTCTGTTCGGCACTCGACTTCGGTCCTCGGATAGGAGTACATCGCCGATCGTACCCCTCCATGGTCAGAATCCATGCCAACGGCGGAACGGCGGAATTTGCTGAAGCCTAGACTATGGATCTTGTATCCGGCGCATTATGCGCTGAGCTTCTTTACGGGGAGATGTAACCAAAATCTAAAACCCCATGTCGTAAAGTACGGGTATTGATGATACCCTCAGCTTCCGAGCCGTGCAGAGTCATGAGATATCATAGAGAGTCATCAAATGAGTCTCACGGCTAAGTAGACTCCAATCGGGTAGATGCAATACCCCCGGGCCCAAATTCCAAAGGTCACCTCATCGTCCCGCCGTAGTAGACAATCTCAAAGCCTAGGTCTCACATCGTCTTTGCAAAGGACCTCCAGGAACATCACTTACACACCTAAATCCATTCTCATCAGTTCAAATACACCATGTCTTACGATAGTGAGGATAGCACCCGCCCCATGCTCACTGAGGATGAGCAAGAGAAGGGAACTCCTCTTTCCCCCTCACCAGAGCTTCAGCGCCGCTACCAGCGCGAGGTTCTCTCCAAGCTCCTCATCGGTCTGGCCTTGAGCATCATCTTTGCCTTCTCCGTCACCTGGGTCTTCCAGTCCATCGTCCCGCCTTCCCGCACCAACGCCCAGGGCATCATAGAGAACCCCTGTGGCAACTCGTCCAGCGAGGCTCAAGCCCGCGGTTGCCACTTTGACGTGCTCTCGTTCTGCTGGGTGCCGGAGGAGTGCTTCGACCGTGAGTTGACGGACAAGTTCCGCAACGCCGGGCCGTGGGTGTTCTACACCGACCAGAACAAGACGGCGTCAGTGACTGAGGAGCAGTTCGGCTCTGATACCCAGCCCGTATACCTCACCAACAGGCTTCATAAGACGCACTGCGCCTACAACATTCTCCGGTTTCACAAGGCACTGACCGAGAATCGCATGGTCCACCGCGAAGACGTCTTGACGCACACGCAACACTGTACTCAAGTTCTCACGAGGGTTAATGAGCCGGACGATATTGAGGTTAGAGCAAAGATTCAGTACCCTGACTGTGGGCACTTTTCAAAGATGTTCCCGGGAAAGGCGAAGGAAGGTGTGCCTGGCCACAATCATGGACACTCCCACATAGGGTGAGACTAGGGATCGTACAACCAGATAAAGTGCCTATACTATGACTAGTACAACAAAAGCTTTTTTCTTGGCTGTACAAATGAGATTCTTCACTATGACTGTATATGACTGTTGTACTCTCGTAGCGGGGAAATGAGGGTGTCACTGGGCCACTCGATTTTGTCATCCAATAGGCGCCAATCTCAACCTCTAAACGGCCACTGAACAAGCTCTTGAACACCATAGTCTGCATTCCGCCATTTTCTCCAATATCACAGTTCTCGATTCGTACATTTAGTAGCAATATCAACATATCACAAGGCGCGAGTAAGCCAGATAAGAGAATGCATATCAGTTGTGCTACAACTACGAATCTATCCGCGACAAATAGGCACGTCTCTTATTCTTCTCAATCTGTCACCCTCCAACTCTTGGGTAATGCCCGCTCGGGTTCCTTTGACCACGCCAGTAGGGCATCAAAGTCATTGCAAACGTGCATGACCCCATGATCAGCAACCCGATGCGTGTCACCATCGATATGGCCTTCGGCAGTGGAGTCAGCAAAGCACATTAGAGCCTGCCGGACGTAGTTGAAGCAGTGCGCCTTGTGCTCCTCCCACGTTAGTGTGACCCCGCTATGATAACCAGGCAGCTCCTCCTTGGGAACACCGGCAGCCAAGAGACCAAAATCCTCCAGGATGGACGTCTGGTGACTTAGGCGTCAGAAGTGCGAAGAACGAAAAGATCGATGAGATGACTTACCAGACAGTGGATCTGATGGAAAGCTGCAATCTCGAACAAGTCACCTGAAAACAGCTTCTGAGGCCCGCTCCCGTCATATGGGAAGGCCCGGACAAAGGCTGGTAGTCTCGTTAGTCGGCGTTAAAAGCCTGCTTCAATGGAAGCTTACCATGGGAGAGACCTTGCCAAGAATCAAGAGTCTCGTTCAGGACACCCTGATCATGGAACGCATGGGCGGTGACCTCGTACTGGTCAGGGCCCGACGGCTTGGGAACACCTCTCGAGCTCACATCTACTCTGCAGGTCAGCGGCATTCATAAGGTGAGGAACTGAGGCTTACCATGTGGGACAAAGTGATTGTAGTCGCTTCCCACCGGCCAAGCCGTTATTTCGTGTCGCCCGGCGTCCTGTCTGAGAACCGCAGTGGTTGTCCCCAGAAGGCAAAGAATGAGGATAATATCAAGACAGCAACGTAACATCTCACAACGTGACATGGCGGTCCAGCGGATAGAGCCACGATCCAAGGTGTCAGCAAATCCAGAAGAATCCGTCTCACCGTCCGAGGAGGAATTGCGTCCAAGCAGTTTGCTTTCTTCCATTACAAAAGTGAGATATAGGTGTTCTACGATTATGGAGATTGATCAATGTCAGTTGGAAAGATGAGGCTGGTGTGGGGAGATGGGAAACCACAGAGTGCAGTAGATTCCTAACTCGTTGTTGTCGTCCAAGATGTCGGCACGGCAGGCTGCGAGGTTGTTCCTTTCCTTGCCGTCCAAGCTCTGTCTAGTGCGTTTTGATATACCGAGCTACTCGGGTGCCATGTGGCCCTGATCTTTTCGCCATCGATCATGATCCGATGCCTGCTAGCGTGTACGTCTACTAGAAAGGAAGCTTTCGGGAACCACAGACAAGCTTTGGGTTCCGGAAGAGGTGCTTCTAAGCGGTCGCGTCTAATGATTCAAGCCAAAATAGCCGCCATTACCGATGAACCCGATGGGGTAACGCACTTGGTAGACTACGCGCAGAACAACATCATGGTTCATGTCACCGGCTTCCTGGCATATAACCAAAAGTCTAAAAGGGGGCTGCCGTCTTCCGCGTGTTGTTGGCCATGATCTACAAAGCACTAGTGTAAACCTTTACCGGAGTCTTTAGAGAAAGATCCAGCTGTGTCATTGACCAGCAGGTACCATGTGGGGAGTATGAATATGAGCATGTAGCCTTTGTGGCCCTTGCAGATAGATCTCGATTAACCAGGACAAACAAGGTCTAAAGACTAATAGAACGTGTGACAAAGCGGAGTCAAAAGGGTGAAAGATGATTGGTGCGCTATTTCGAAACGTCCAATATCCCGGGGAGATAGTCTCCCCCCTCACATGCGCACTAAACCTCCCGGCGCGTCCAGATGTTCAACCCGATCTTTTTGCCGCCTAACGCCGGAAGACCGGCATGTAGCGTTCGAACATCTCCGGTCCCATCGGAATGGAGATTCCGCCAGAAGACGGCACTGCCGGCGACCGCTCGCACTGTCAGCTCTGTCTGGTCTGCGCAGTCGACCAGGTTGCACCACCGCTCATCCTCGACATCCCAGTCCACCGAGATCTTGGGAAACCGTGTCCCGCAGTTGGCACACTCCACATCGAGAACAGCGAAAAAGGTCGTTTCCCTGTTTGTCGTCTGATTTCTCGCCGCGGGGTTCGCTGCCCAATCGTAGTGATTCGTGTACTGCTGCCCCTCCAAGTACCGCGTCACTTGCAGATCCTCCATCATGTCAAGGTCTACGTAGCCCTGAAACTCCGAAGCGCGGGACCTGATGCATTGGATGACAGAATCATCCGAAGGCAAGTACGCCGTGGAACTGGTTCGTTCCTGCGCAGCAATGGATCGCCCGTCAGTGCCGATAGCGCGAGAGCGCTGGAACCTAGGCTGCCTGTATCGAGTCAGTCAACAAGTATACCCCGAATTTTCAACAATAGAGAAGAGCTTTGACGTACGCGAACTGCAGCAGGTACTGAGACTCCTCTGGAGTGATAAAGTTCTCAATGTGCTGAATGAGTGGATCATACGACAACGTCCGTACCGTATAGCGCGGGCGCGGGCAAGAGTTGCCGAGTGGGATCTGGAGCTCCGTCTGGGACCGAGACTTTGCAGAGAAGAGTGCCGCTAGGAGAGCCGCCGCGAAGGACATGGACATGAATTGCTTGAGAGCCATTGTGCAAAGAGGGGGAATGTTGGAACGGGGTTGACTGAAAGAGGTTAGAGAAGAAGTTTGTGGTCAGAAATCGCAAACGCTAAGACCAGCATCGTGGGCCCGACGGATATCCGCCTTATATGCCCGATCGAAAGGCTTCCCACGGGACTTGAGAGAAACTGACGATTCATGCCTAGAGATGTTTCCTTGGACCACGAAAAACTCTGAGATTCTTCAGAGGGGTTAGATTCATGGTGATCTCGATCCCCGAGGTTCAAACTTTGTCAACTTGAAGTTCCCGATGGGAGACGCAATCATCTGGACTTGTTCTCGTCGACGGGCGGCGATGCGTTGACTTTGATTTTCGGAAAAGGCTGAACGGATCAACGAGTCATACTATCCAGCTGTAGCTCTGCTGTGGACTCGGAAATATGGCGCATCACGAAAAACAAGAGTGACGACGCGTTGACGCTATCACGAACAGGAAGTTCACGACAGGGCGTCGAGTGACGAAAGCACCCGTATCCGTCGGACCGATGGTGTGGCCTCTGAATCTTGAACGAAATGGCAACTTCAACGATGAGTTGTCAGTCGAGTTGACAGCCAAGTTGAACAGAAAAAAAAATATTTAAGGGTGCATCTCGTCTCGGAAACAGCAAATATTCTCTTCACTCACTCATCAGGTCAAACACCTTCACAGTCTTCCAAGCTTCTTCAACATCTTCAGTCTACACCTTGCCTCCAGCACCCTTCTTCACAACACATTCATCTCTCCTCTTATAACTCCAAACGCCATCATGCATATGACAAAGGTCACCGCCATCCTTGCCTTCGCCGCAAGCCTTGCCGCCGCCGCTCCGGGTGCCAAGCTCGTTCCGGAGAAGCGCCAAACCACCGAGTTTGGCCCCTATCCCGAAGACAGCTACCAGGGAAAGGAGAATGGAAAGCGCCAGACCACAGAGTTCGGCCCTTACCCTGAAGATAGCTACCAGGGCAAGGCGAGCCAGAGGCGCCAGACGACCGAGTTCGGTCCCTACCCCGAGGACAGTTACCAGGGAAAGGAGAACGGAAAGCGCCAGACTACAGAATTTGGTCCTTACCCTGAAGATAAGTACCAGGGCAAGGAGAACCAAAGACGCCAGACGACCGAATTCGGCCCCTACCCTGAGGACAAGTACGAGGGCAAGACGAAACGCCAGACCACGGAGTTCGGTCCGTACCCAGAGGACAGCTACCAGGGCAAGGAGAACAGCAAGCGCCAGACCACTGAGTTTGGCCCGTACCCTGAAGATAAGTACGAGGGCAAGGCCAGGCGTCAGACTACGGAGTTCGGCCCCTACCCTGAGGATAGCTACCAAGGCAAGAGCTCGAAGCGTCAGACCACCGAGTTTGGGCCTTATCCCGAGGACAAGTACGAGGGCAACAGCATGAAGGAGAAGCGTCAAACCACAGAGTTCGGCCCATACCCCGAAGACAAGTACGACAGCAACAACATGAAGGAGAAGCGCCAGACCACAGAATTTGGACCCTATCCCGAGGACAAGTATGAGTCTACCAACTCCAAACGCCAGACTACGGAATTCGGACCCTACCCTGAGGACAAGTACGACAGCAACAACATGAAGGAGAAGCGTCAAACGACTGAGTTCGGTCCTTACCCCGAGGACAAGTACGAAGCCAAGAACTCTAGACGCCAGACTACAGAATTCGGTCCCTATCCCGAGGACAAGTACGAGAACAGCGACAAGAAGGCATAGAGTGAGTTTTTTTTATCACCCTCCCCTTACCTGCACCACGACTTTTCCATCTAACGCAATGAACCAAACTTTACAGCTTCTCGTCAACTTCACGAGTTTGAATCCGAAGTCTAGAGTCGGAAGCTACATGTAGTCTCGCGGCGACAACAAGAACCAGAAAAATGTGAAAAGGGGAGAAAAAAAACAGGCTTTGGATGGGGGGTTTCAGGGAATGTGCATCGCTGGGGGGGGGGGTATGTCTTGGAGTGACATGTGACTAGCTCGCAGCTATAGGTTGAAACTCGTGTTGTGTCTTTTAAACAGGTCCTTTCCCGTGATGTTCATGCCGGAGTGCCTCGTACTCTGATGTTGACTGGTGTAATTTCATCGCAGTTGGTACAGGAGCCGTAATTCTCCATCATTTCAACTCATCTAACTGAAGGGAAGTTGTCAAGGCAAGGCTACGTGAGACAGCCGAATCAACAGACACTCAGCGTCGTGACTGAAATTCACAAGACTCATCCGCCCAGCACCACATTTACGAAAAAATCACAAGAGGCAATAGTCTGATATGGCATGTCAACAGCAAGTAGTATTGCTCTACTCTTCCGCACGTCCGTGTCGTTCATTCCCAAACATGTACAAGAAGCATGCTTTTTCGCAGCCGAGCCCGCTACCCTCTCCCGTCATCCAGTTCCCCTCCTCCCATTCTCCAGACATCAGTGACATGACAATAAGAAGCGAAATTACATGATTTGTAGGGCTCTCGGTGACGTGGCAGCGCGAGAAAGCTTTCATGAGATGCAACGGCACGATGAGTTGTCTCGCAGGACTACAAACGTGTACTCGAAGACATAGTAGGTAAGAAAGGGACAAAATATCAAAAACATTTGTGGTATCTTTCCGGCAAAGCATGCTGCGGTGCGGTAAAGACGTGAGCAAAGCAGCTATATCGGTAACAGAAAAAAACAAATCAGCTGTAGATCAGGAGGTATGATGGTTGGCAAAGACAAGCCCGTGCCAAGTAACGACCGTAAGAATGTGTTTTCCCAAGGAACCAATACGCCGCCGCCTGGTCGTTCAGGCAGTCCAAGTGTTCCCATTAAGTCAGAGAAAAGTATGGCATATCGAGGAGGCCACTTAGGCCTCCTCCATGATGCCGCCCTCGCCGCCACCCTCTTCGCGCCATTCACGACTCTTGCTGGTGAGCTTCTTCACACCCGCCACGCGACCAGACCACAAAGATTCAATCGGCGTACGGAAGGTGAAGGCTCGCTGAGAGCTGATGACTCCAATGGCTTGGAGAACAGCTTTGCGGCTGTCGCGGCCAAAAACGGCAGGGTGGCTGATCCACTCGAGACTGCTCTCGAGCTCATGATCCAGAGCGGCAACGGTGTTGGCATCGATACCAGCACCAAGACCGAGGCCATCGTTGGACCGACTGCGTCCGATGCCAGTGGCCTGGTAGCCATTGACGGCGGATGAGTTGGCCGATTGAGTGGGCGATGGAGTTTGTTTTCTGTCGGGGGTGATGGAGGGTGAGGCATCGTTCCCGGGGTGTGGGGTGGAAGGGAGGGATCTGGTTGGCGGTGCCGTCGGTGGAGGGATCGGAGGCAGACCACCTTTTCCAAGACCCTTCAAAATAGATCGGGTCTCGTTGAGTAGGGTGTGCGCTCGGTCGTGCTGACCGCGCGACACGAGGGTCAAGGCGCGAGTTAGCATATCCGACGTCAGCAGCTCCATGCGCCGCTGGACGATGTGCGGATGAGGGGGGATCGGGGGCGATCCTGCCCATGAATTCTTGTTTTTCGCCTGGGCCGGAAGCATGGTGATGGCGAGCAGAGAGGGGCGGGGAAGATGGGAGAGCGTGCCATCCCGGAGAATGTCACCCCATGTAAGGTCAGCCTGGATGAGAGGGACCTCCTCGACAGAAGTCACCCGCTGGTCGTCGCCATCGCCAGCTCCGCCGAGCGCCTCCAGACCCGAGACGATGTTGTCCCAAGGATCCTGTGGCAGTTGTTCCTGGGACGTGTTATCCGGCACAATGACCAGCTGCACCAAGACGTCGCGCTTGTCACCGAATCTAAGATCGCCCAGGGAGGCCTCAGCATCACGACCCGTCGCGCGCTTGGTAATCTGCAAGGCACCGCTGATCTTGTGGAACTTGGCCGGGGATCCTTCAGGCAGCTTCAGCTTGAGCTTCACGTTTTGGTGCGAGAGCGTCTGCATTGCGCCGAGGCAGCCGGCAAGGCACTCGCGAAGCATCATCCAGTCCTTGACGTAGGTATAGGACGCCTTGGTGCGGGTGGAGAGCTCAATCATGGTATCGGGTTTGTGCGTCATGCCGAGGCCAAAGGAGTGGATGGTAATCTTGGCTGCTTCGGCTCTCGACACAACAAAGTCGACGCTGTCGGCGTCCGAAGTAGAGGCGTCGCTGATGAGCATAATGGTGGCGATCGGGTTGTTGTACTTGCGCTGCATGAGCAAGTCCATGGCGACATTGGCGCCTTCAACCACATCAGCGCGGTGGCTCTTTTGCCCAACCGGCTTGATGGAGCCCAACACGTTGCCCCAACCGGGCCACGCCTTCGTGGTCATGCCCACAATGGGTACGCCGCCGCCGCCCGATCCAAAGGTGACGAGTCCCATCCTATCTCTCTCGCCGAGGGTGTTGACCATGAATTTGAGAGCATCGCGAACAAGGTTGATCTTGACGCCTTGCATCGACGATGAGATGGGGACGACCACGACCACGTCGATGGGAACGTGGATGGAAGCCGGCATCGTCGGGCTTCTCTGGAAGTTGGTGTACTCGGTAGGCGCCGTTGTGGTGGATTTAGGGCCGCCCCAGGACGAGGCAATCGACGACACCCTTTGCTGTCGCGATCCACGCTGCCAATCATCCTCGTCCGTCTCGGAGAATTCTCCTCGGTCGTACTCTGGACTGCGGACTGGCGACGTTTCGACAGCGTTCAAGTCGAGTAGTGCTTGGTGCCAAAGCTTGAGCTGATTGCGGTTTTCGAAGCGAAGGTGGAACTGAGGCAGCTCCGCGACAGAGAGGTTTAGTGTAAGAATGTTCTCATCAACTGCCGAATGGTTAACGTCAAGAGACACTGCGTGCGTTTAGTCCAATCCCGTGAAGGATTGATGTTAACCGATTTTGCGGGGCATCGAATACCGAGCGCAATGTGCCGAGTGCCGAGAGTCGAACACCGTCTGCCGACGCTTTTTCCTCACAACCTGGAGTTGAAGGCCCAGTGCTTCTCGGCAAATTGCTTGGGGTAACTAATTCATGGACGCCGTAGACGATTAGAGTTGACTATGCCTACGCTGAGCAGCCGGCGCTGAATCCAGGGCATCACCGTGCTAGCGGCCAAGGTAGGACAGGATGTTGCTGTGATCAAATCATCACATTTGGAGGGCCTGCATACTTTATGTAACTTGCCCGGTGTACGTATAAGAGACCAAAATCTACTCCCAGCGACCAGTACATCAAAGCTGCGTACAAATTCCCCAACTTACGAGGCATCCCCAAATGAACCAACACTTATTTTCATTGTCCTTCCTTAACCCAGAATCAGATGACAGAATGGCTTCCTCACGCGTGACTCAAATTAGCAACCACCTCGCACTCAGGAACCCACAAACACCAGATACCGGCCCAGCAGATCCATACGCAGTCATTGAACAACCCCTCGGAACAGCCAAAAAGGTCCGCATCATCACAATCGGCAGCGGCGCAAGCGGCCTGAACATGATCCGCACCTTTCGCAAGCAACTTACAAACTTTGAACACATTGTCTATGAGAAGAACCCCGAAGTCGGAGGCACATGGTACGAGAACCGCTATCCGGGGTGCAAGTGCGATATCCCCTCGCATAACTATCAATTCTCCTGGATGCCGAACAAGGAGTGGAGCAGCTTTCTGTCTCCGGCGGAAGAGATCCAGGCGTACTTGTGTCGCTTGTGCGATGATGAGGATTTACGACGTCAGATCAAGACTAATCATCTCGTAACGGGAGCGTTTTGGGATGAAGTCGCTGGAATATGGACGGTTAGGGTGAAGAATTTGGAGGACGGTGTGGAGTTTGGGGACCATTGCGAGTTTTTGCTCAACGCGAGCGGGATTTTGAAGTATGATTATGCCCCTGATTTCATAGCGTGCCCGGTGCGTTGCTAAGTCTGAGTTTCCTGCAGCAACTGGAAGTGGCCAGATATCCCCAGTTTACAAGACTTTGCAGGTTCTCTCCTCCACAGCGCCAACTGGGATGAGACATTTGACTGGAAAGGAAAACGAGTCGCAGTAATAGGCAATGGCTCATCGGGAGTTCAAATCGTTCCGGCTGTACAAAAAGGTGAGTAACAGTCAGGTCTCGTACCACCAAGATACTCACAAAAGAGGCAAAGACGCGAAGGAAATGATTCACTTTATTCGTGGGCCAACTTGGATAATGCCGCCGCGAGTTCAGACATTGCTGCTTGGAAAGGCAAAGCAAACGATGGAGCAGATTGAATTAGACGAGGATGAGAACTTCACGCCAGCACAGATTGCGAAGTTCAAGTCCGATCCCGCGCTATATAAGTCATTCGTCAAGGCTATAGAAGAACAAGTTAACAATAACTTCTTCATCGTCGGTGATCTAATCTTATCTCTTTGAACTTTCCACTAACTCTAAGATAGGTTTTGAAAGACTCGGAAACACACCGACAAGCCACGCAAGGCGTCACTCAATACATGCAATCTGCACTCAATAACGATCAGAAGCTGATCGATATTCTGATCCCCTCGTTCCCTATAAGTTGTCGTCGAATGACGCCAGGCGTCGGATACTTAGAGTCTCTGACGAAACCCAATGCAAGAGTCATCTCGGGAGGAATCGCCCGCATAGTCTCAGACGGCCTGATTACAGAGTCTGGAGAACACGTTGCGGTCGATGCTATCGTGTGTGCCACTGGATTCGATGTCTCGTTTCGCCCACGGTTCCCTATCGTCGGGCGAGGGGCAACAAATCTCCAAGATAGCTGGGCCAAGGACATACCGAAAGCCTACATGTCTTGCGCGGTCCCCGAGATGCCCAACTACTTTGGTAAGTTCATGTTGTATTGTGGTGGTTCCATTCAACTCCAATCACTGTACTAACAGACAATCCAGTCTTTCTCGGCCCCAACGCCCCCATCGGCCACGGCAGCGTCTTCACCATAACCGAACTTCTCGCAAAATATGTCGCCGGTATTATCCAAAAATGCCAAACCGAGGATATCAAATCCATCAGCCCCAGCCTCGACGCAGTCAATGAATTGTACGAACACACGCAGGCCTTCATGCCACGCACAGCATGGGCCGGGTCCTGTAGATCTTGGTTCAAAGGCGGCGCTGTGGATGGACCTGTGACAGCACTCCATCCTGGGAGCAGAATCCACTTTTTCCACATGTTGGAGAATTTTAGAGGGGAGGACTGGGATTATGTGTATGAGAAGAAGCGAAATCGGTTTGCGTACCTTGGGAATGGGCTCTCTACGAAGGAGTTGGATGGGTCTGATTCTACCTGGTATTTGAATGATCCGGATGTGGAGGGGAAGTAACCTAATGGGTGAGAGTCTTAGCGACGCTTGTACATCAGTTGGTTTTCAGTGTTATTCCCAGTTTCAAAGTCTCGACTGTCGTTTACAACGCAAGAACTGCCAATAAATGATATGATCACATGGATGAAGAGTCCCTTGTACAATTCAAATAGTCTTCGATATCAATTCTGTCGTTAATCCGTTACTTGCTTGCGGAAACTATGTCTTGCTAGATGACCCATCCTGGTTTAGAGCCGGGATTGAATGGGTCTTGCGCCGACCGGCATTCGGTACGAGTGGGATCTCGGCACACAAAGGCGCAGGGCATCCAACTTACGAATCTGAAGGTTCGAATCTCAAAGTCAAATATCGAGACAAAACCGCTTGATTAAAGTGCTGACGACTCAATCGATCCTTTCGACAGATCTTCTGTACATCAAATTTGTAACTCAAATCAATCACAACCTTCAACATGGGTACAGACGCACAAAAGAGGGTCAGTCTGACCTTCCTCTCAACCACCTTCCTCTCAACCGGCTCAGTCCGCATCAAACTCCCCATGAAAAGCCAGCCCGTGAAATCCTACCTCGACCAATTCGTCACCCTCCGCCGCTTCCGCTGCATCGCAAACCGCCAATGGACAGAACCCCTCCTAGTTGGAAGGGTCTAGAACACGCCACATTCAATACTCGCTCTCAAGCCACTTTGACAGGTCAGTTTGTAGCCACGGGCCAGAAAGAGGAGGATCTATTTCCTCGGATAGTGGGGCAACTGCGCTCAGACCAGCACAGCAAAGTGATGGACCCTGGAGCCAATTTCGACGAGAAAGCGCCGATGGATATCGTTGGGAGCGTTTCTGTAACGTTCTAGAATCTGTCATTCAAAGTGGAGCCTTGGACCGTGGCTACTTCCATGGTCGTCGATGTGGATAAGGAAGTCAACGTGTGAAGCGGCGCATTGTCTTAGCCACAAGTGCCGCTGATTGGCCTGCTTGGCCTGTAGCAACACATCACAACGAGGTTCACTATGCACAGTACACTAACCAAATTTTTGCACGATCAAACGCGCAGAGTCAGCACTCTTCAAGTGCCGTACTCAGCCAGAATTATACCTGCATCTATTTTCAGAGGAAGCTTCGCAGTAGCCAGCCATGCCTCGAGGCACTTGATATGTACGCCTTGAGACGGAATATCAGTGAACAAGGTTCGCTAGTATTCACAATTTCGTCGTGACTATACAAACACTACTACACGAGGAGCAAACTCGAAGTACATGGCGGACTCTTTGTCAAAGGCCGAGTTTCGTTATTCCTGAACATCTCTTCAAGTTACTGACAGGACCTTCTTGAGCTGAGACGACGCGTATGTACGACAAGCAAAAGAATCTGAGACTTTCTGCTTCTGCCCCAAGCGAAAAGAGAAACCATCTGGTATGGGCCGTTCACGGTACGCTTCTGATCTAGCTCCTTTCACATACTTGAAGTCTGACTTCGTGCCAGCCAAAAGAGGCAGAAGAAGGGCAATCCTGGCATGTCCGTTCAGCACGAGCCGATCACGCCTGGGGCCACGTTCAGCTGGGTGACGCATGGCAGGCTCATCACGGAGCTCGTCAATGGTAAAATGGTGTGCTATTTCTCGGCGGAGGATGGTAGTGTGGTGGGCGTCTATCTTGGTGTTTGGAGTTGCCCGCCTGTTTTCCAGTGGTCGCCCAGTTGAACGTCTGCATGCGGTTGATTAGCTCACATCACGAGAAAGAGTTCTCTATTATCGATAGTTCTAGAGCCGCATTGCAATACTTTCGGTTTTTTGTATGCCATGTCCAAGGCAGACAAGAACATGGCTATGAATCTGCTTGGGGATGTGCAACAGTCCGTATAGCCTCTCTTTGAGCTTTATTGAAATACACTCATTATTGCAAGGCGCACATTTCTTGATTACATGTCGCCATCCCCCTTCTAGGTTTCAGGCTTTGGTAAAATGAGCATCTACATGGCAAAGCTTTTTGCTTGACTACATCCGTGCCATAGTGGCCTCAACCCTCGCAGACTGATGCTGAATGGGAGGAATCATGATTTTGACATCACGGCTGAAGTTTTTTGCGATGCTTTGTCTGCTTTGTCCGCTTTGTATAAATTGTGACACCCGAAGCCCGGCATGGATCTGGTTTAATCTCCAAGTCGTTAAGACTAATCACCTGGCTTGACAACAATGTTGTATTGACGGGATAAAACGTGCTCTCTGGGCGAAACGGTGAAGGACGGATTTGTATAACATCGTTGTTCGCAACAAGGCAAGGAGAAGGCAGCAAAAGCGTTCCAAGCCTGGCTCAAGACCGTGCCAGATAATCACACGATCATCTACTCGGACGGCTCTAAAGCCCCTAATAGGGCCACGGGATTCGGCTTTGTTATCTACCGTAACAATAAACGCATAGCCCAAGGCTGCGGCCGCCTCGGTCTTGCGGAAGTGTTCGATGGCGAGGCGGAGGGGGCGAGGGCAGGGCTCCAACGAGCTCTCCTTACCTCCCAAGGCCAGCCTATACACATCTGTATTGATAACACTAGTGTTATCCAGGGGATACGCGGCGACGTCCCAGACTCCTCACAAGCTGCCTTCCTAGAGATCCAGGCAGCAGCCAGGATATATAATATACAAACCCACTGGTCCCCAGGGCACCAAGGGATAAAAGGGAACGAAGAGGCAGACAGCCTAGCTAAGGAGGGTACAACACTTCCAGTCCCCAGAGGCCTACTAGCTACGCTATCAGGGATCAAACGGCTTGCCCAAGTGCGCAAACAGCACCAACATAGGAAATGGTGGAGACAAGAGGCAACCCCCCGCTATACCCAACTAGGGCTCAAGGCCACCCTTGCTTGCCCTCCTGAACTTGGCCTCCCTAGGGCTGCCCTTCATCACCTCCTCGCGGCGCGGTCAGGCCACGGGGACTTTGAACAGTATCATCAACGCTTCAACCATACAGAAGCACTGCTAACCTGTTCCTGTGGAGAGGTTAAGGAGGCAGACCATCTAGTCTACTGCCGAAAGACCCTACTGAGGAGGCAACAGTGGCCCATCCTCTACCCCTACAGCCGCCAGGAGCCCGTGGGACCTATAGGGTCCCTCGACCGCTACTTCAAGGGGCTCATCACTGACTCTGAAGGCTTTCAGGCCTTCCTCTGCGTGACAGACTTCTACCAGAAGATCTGCCCGCGGTACTAGGAGATAGGCCATAACCTATTCTCCAAACGACAAACTACTTCTATGAGGAAACCAGATGGTTATAACGGACCTAGGGCACCAGTGGGAACTAGGGACGAATAGAGCACATAGTAGCTCACGAGCAAGATTTGGAGGACGTCAGGATCCGGCGTGTACTGTAGAGTATATAGCTAGAGCCTACGACCCTCCACGCCACATACCCTTCGGGAGGTCTGCCGCAAGGGCGGCTGCGCCCTTGCCGCCATGGCGGTAAATATAAAACAAACAAACAATAGTCAGGTGAGGCTGGGTCGCAATAACGGTCACTTGTACATATGCCCTCAATATTTCTTGATCGCACTACCTAAACAACCCTGGCTGAGAATGTTCCCCAGCATACATGTGATAAGTCGGTTGGCATAGTATGACGCTGACATGGCGAAAGCTCTGATCTTCCTTTCGACAAAGAGAAGTCCCATTTGAGACCCGAGGCTGTAATATAGCAATCATCCCTGGTCTATTTCGATTCTATGAGCCCAGGCTACTTTTCAACGAAAAATGTCAAACTCACGAGCGCTGCAGTAGCGAGAGTTGGCCACCGCCCAATCGTTGCAGTTTTCCTTGGCGCATCGAGTGCTTCCGGCAGCCTGGTCGGTAGGGACCATATTGTTGACAGGTCTTTCGACAGTTGTGAACGGCATGTTTTCCGGCGCAGCGTAGTTCTTGAAAAGTATGAGCAGGACAAAAGCGATATTGGTATTGGATCCCAGTAGAGAGACTGATGAAGATTCGGAGCGGTACTGTTCTGAATTTAACCTCATTTTCCAGCGTACCTCTCAAGGGAGTTTACGGTGCTGTTGCGGTTAGAACCGGTTGATAGGAGTTGGCTGACTGGATTAGCTGCAGTCATCAATGAAAATGGAAAGCCTGGTGTTGTAAACACCTGAGATGTGATAATTATTGGACGCGAGGACAATCACGGTGCGATCGAAAAGCAGGCAATATGCGAGCTGGGCCTACGTGCAGATGATCATTGGCGGTCTTTCGATCAACGGGCGCATCATGATACATATCGCGTCATGAATGCAGGCGATAGAACGCCCGGCATAACACCTCACCGCCTACCATAGTATATATGCGGGGTTGTGACGTTCTAGAACTTCCCCTCTTCCCGTCTTTAACACCAGTAAATCTCGATCTGGGTACCTTTGCTATCTGCGATCAACTCTAGGCAAATATGGTACAAAGACTTTTCGACTGTTCGGTGCCCACGTGCCTAAGACCAAGTGCTCGTTCCGTGGGGGCTGGTTGTGATATGTGCAGCCGTCACCTCTGCAGGCTACATCTTTCCCGGGACTTCCACCAATGCGACGCTACGGTGAGTCGTCCAGATCAAAAATATCGTGCACTATGCTAATCTGCGTTCCAAGTCCCTTGACGACTCAGCTTATCAAGCTCTCATGGCCGCTGAGATCAACCATCTTCGCGCTCAAATCAACGGACCAGCAGTGTGCAAGCTTGCCTCCAGCTTGAACGCAGGGAAGCCTTGTGTACTAGAACACCCTTCCCAGGTTTTGGGATTAGAATCTCTCACGGGCTGTGCAAATTACCATGCCCGCATCCGGTTTGAGGATGGCTCGCCTTCATGGCTTCTACGAGTGCCACGAGTTACTGGCTTTGCTGTCGGTCTTCCTTTAACCCTTGCCGAATACCTGATTCGAAGCGAGTATGCGACCCTAAAATTCCTGGAGACTACCAAGGTGCCAGCGCCACAGGCATTCTCTTTTGGTATCCCATCCCAGGGAACTGACTATGGCGTTGGAGTCTGCTTTCTTCTGATGGAGGAGTTAGCTGGTAGACCTTGGGATGGCCAACGGGATACCTTAAAGGTATGGCACCGCCTTGGAGAGATTCTTGCGGAATTAGAGAAGCATCATTTTCACCAAGCTGGTTCTCTATATGTCGACTCCCCACAAGATCAACCTTTAGTTTCTGCTGCAGCAAGCGACAGATTCGTTTGCCTTAACCCTTGGGGTCCATTCGAAACCGCAACAGAATACTACTCAGCCTGGGCCGAACAGCATCTCGCGCTGATTGTTGACGGTCAGCTATACCCACAATTCCCAATTGAGGCGTACCTGGTGTATCGATTCTTGAAGAAGCATGCGAGCACGTTAGCTGATGACGATGACGTGTTTTTTCTTAAACATGTTGACGACAAAGGTGATCACTTGATGGTCGACGAGCAAACCAATATCATTGGGATTGTTGATTGGCAAATGGCACGCGTCGTTCCGCGACGAGAGGCATTCGCATTATCCCTCATATCTGCGGATATGGGAGCTCTATGTGATGGTCAAGTGTCGCTTAGTGCGAAGGACGTCGCACTTACTGATGCTTTGCGGGAAAAGAGCGCACAATTGGCTGAATGCATGGGTGATGAGAAGATGAGACGATTCTTTTGGGGATTGGGACTAGAGCATGATTGGGCATTGGCATTACCGTTAGCAAAGGCTTTACTTCAGGTCTTCGGAGTAGAACAAGGTTGGGATGAATGGAGAGAGGAGCAGCTGACGGAATGCAAGAGCGATGAACGTCTGGCGGCGCTTTTGGAAGTTTCTTGACCAGCTGCAGTGTCGTTGGAATCTAGCTGCGAACGGAAGCCTCAACAGAGATTAGACCCATTAAGCCGGTTGCCTTATGTAATCACACTCGCTGCTTGCATCACATGCATATGCATATCCGGGGCTGTGGTTTATCCGCCCTGAAAGCACCCCTGATCAGGGAGGTCGGGTCGCTCGTGGCTTTCCCCCCGCAAACAAGAAAAGTGCCACGCCTTTCTCTCAACACAAGATTCCATGAATTCAATCGTCTCTCATCTCCATCGGCCTTCGCCCGCAATTCCTGCAAGGAACAACGAAAACGACGCCATCGCATACTTCTTTCATCCGTCATACCCCACTCCGCACGATCTGCTCTTCACTTTACCATGCGTTGACCCAACGAATGCGCGCAGTGCTACTGAAAGCAGGCGCGGTCTATACCATGATGTAGCTCTTCTCGCTTGTCAGGTCATAGCTGACAATAACTTCTCGGGGCGCCTCTTCTTTGATCGCAAAGGTATGCGCGCCGTGTTGGATGAAGTATCTATACAGGGGCTACTTCATCCCGGAGAGTACTTCTTCATCGTGAACTCTGACCGTACGTCCAATCTGCTATATATGTTTATCGTGTCGCAATGTCAATTCTCAAGTTCGGGAGGCTAATTTTGATCATACACCAGCTACCTATCGTTACCCGGTCGTCCCCAGCTTTCGCGACTGGCGGTTTCCACATGGCCAGATTCCCGACACTTGGCCGTCTCCTAAAGCATCACCTTCGACCGACACGGTGCGACGTTGCGCGCTTACGAATCATGGCTTCGGTCTTACCAACGCCCACATAGTACCTAGAGAAGAGGCTGAGTGGTTCATGCGCAATGGCATGGCACGGTACGGCATGGATACGCGCGATGTAAATGACTCCCGGAACATGATGCGCTTACGGGCTGATATCCACCGTTGCTTTGACGCCCGTGTGTTCTCTATCATCCCGAAGCCCGAATTCGCTTCAGACGACCCTCAGACCTCTCCGAACCGGAATATTGCATATGTGTTACACGTCTTTGGTTCCAACATGGAGGAGTTTTCAGATATGTACCACAATATGTGCGTTCAGTATCTTGACAACACCAGCCGACAATATCTCTTCGCCCGCTTTGCCTGGACAATTCTGATTTTTGTCAAACCGTTCGTGCTTGCTGGCACGACTCGATCTGTCATTCGGAACAACAGTCAGGTAGCCGGTATGCAATGGATTGCGGAAGACTTGTCAGGTTCTCAGCTGTCAAGTTTGTACGGCGGCGGCGGATCGAGAAGTGCTAGCCCTAAAAAGCGCAGCCGGCAGGGGGAAGACGATGTTGGCAGCTTGGCAGACTCTGACGAGTGGTATGAGGAGATTTTTGAATTCGAAGAAGGCAGAGGACGGAAGCGTTTTCGCCGTGAAGCTTCGCCTACGGTACTCGACGGCGGAGACAGGGCTCGCACGCCTGCCCTGTCTAATGTTTCTACTTTAACATCGGCCAACAAAACTCCCCCTCCGCACTCGCCATCGAGTCATGTCGAGTCCAGCCGGAAGCTTCAAACCTGTGAGAGCACGGCTCTTACTGACTGTTAACACTCCAAATTTTACCCGACTGGGTATATCACGAACATAGGTAGGTCTCGATGTTTCCGGTCATGTTTCCCGGTAAATGTCATTCTATATAAACCGTATGGACGCCAATAGAACACACTACTTTTCGTTGAGACGACCTTTCACTACACTGTCGCACTGGGAACATGAACTATGTCTCGTGTTGACATTTTCTTGCCGCTTCCCGCTTGGAAGTCAATACGAGAGAATGTGGCGAGCGTAGGTAACTGAAAAACAAATCTTTGAATGTCGCCCGTAAATTCGGGGTCGCCACATGCTGCATGCGATCAGAGCCAATACCTCAAAAACGTAGACGAGTTAGCACTAACCCAACACAATCATGTGACCTGCGTATCGTGACTTCGCGTCGATATTTCTTTGGATGCGATTCATTGAATCGTCGTGTGACAGCCTGAAAGAATTCCATTGTTTGGAGTGTTTTTTCAGGAATGTGTAGCTTTCGGAGAGGGCAAGCGCGTAGTCGCGGGTAGTAAAGGTGAGCGGCGAACAAACTCTACGAACGTCAGACAGACACATATCTGCTTTGAACTTTTGTTGCGTACCCTATGGGGGTCGAGATGAATAAGACTCTGAAGCCGTTCTTCAGCCCATTCTTCCTCGTCATTCTGATCTAGTTTCCACTGCAAATCAATACGCCTTGTGATGCGGCTTCGCCTGCTGATCCGTGCGATGTGTGAAGCTGCTGGTAGAACGCCCGCAATACCGCGACCCTGAGCCACGAGAACTACTGTCTCATACTTTTCAGGATGTGCGTTGTATCCGTATGGGCCATCAAGAAGGACATGAACCTTTTGCTTGATCCATTCTGGCGAGTCTTGGATAAGTAGGAAGATGTCTGATGTAGTTGTCGTTGTCGTATATGTCTCGACACCCGTATTAATCCTTTCCCAGTGATACACAAGATGAGGAGTGTTCGTTACAATAGAGAAAGCGGATGAGGTAATGTAATAATAGCATCCCGGGTAAGTTCTCAGAGCTTTTTTCGTTTGGACTTGTACGACAGTCGCGTTGCCCAGGCGAACAACTTGCCGAACGGCGCCTTTGCCATTCAGCCACGAATAGAACCTAGGGTAAGTCGCGATGATAAAGACCAAACCGCTAAATGCACTCGCGGCTATCAGGCCTGATTTAGAGGTAAGAGCGATATGCCAGCACAGAACGGGCACACTCAGAATTGCCAGTCCCACATGAGCTGACAGAACCAAACGACTGGATGGAAAGGCGACCCAGAGCAGTGGCAAAACACCTAGGAGCAAGGACAGGAGAACCAAGGCCTTGAGAGTAAGCAAAGTTATGCCTTTGGGCACCTCATACTCACAGCTAATCCAGAGTAAAATATTTGCTGGTCGAAAGTTGTCGGAAATGGATTTGGAAGAGTTGTGGCGGTGCGCACGGCAACTCCTGCGTGCAATGCGGCTTGTATGCACTAATTCGGACAATGCAGTAGTTGTACAAATAGAATGGGCATCATTATAACTACGATCGTCCGCCGAATAGCTACAGGACATTGTCGCACTCAACCACTACCCACGCCAGATTGGCCTTTGGCGTCGCTTCGAGATTTTCTTTCCGCATAGTCCAGTGGCGATCTTGTCACCGGAACCGGGTAGATCGTTTTCTTCCAAACCTTAGCCTTAGAGGTAGCCTTAAAGGGCTCTGATGTGATTGAACTTACCAACTCAGCGCGAGATTTGGGGAAATTGTGCTCATTGAAAGACGTGTATTCATATGATCTGCTTTTGAAGCGGACTTGGACGTATACGTCGGCCCCGTACCGTCGTCGTATCTGCTCACAACGCCACATGATGTTTTTGACCGTTTTATCGCAGTTCTCGTTGGTTCTATCCCTTTTCTTTGGCTGCTGCTGACGAGAAGCCATGATTTATTGGGTACGGACTGCGACGGCACTGTATTGTTGACGTACCATAAAGTAAAAAATGAGTCTGATTCATCATCATCTTGTCGTTCTACTCTGCCCAATGCATCCCTTTTCAAGCAAGCATACCGCACGAACGCGTTAGGCACCAGGTGGCAGTGGAGCCGCATCTGAGTCTATTCTGTGATTGCTAGTTTCCTAACTTTGTCGCAGCCTTTTTGTGAGGGCAGCCAAAATCGGCTTTTGATGCATCTGCTAGCGGGAAGAACGTGGAGTCACCACTTACGGATGTTAGCACGTAGCTTCGGACGCGGGTGGCCCGAATGACGGAATCCGAGAGCTATCCGAGAGGTAGAACAGGAAGCCAGAACCGTCTGTTTAGGACCAATTGCATGTGCCAAACATCTATACGCACTTTGTTGCTGAACGGACAGAGCGTAGACAAAAGAGTCTACTTGAAGCACCACAATGATGAGCTTTTTTTTCTGGCCATACGGCGCGAAGAAGCTTGCCGACATTTGGAGGCAAGAGGGACTTTGATTAAAGCCGTCTACGAAAGCGGAAGAGGCATAACTCAGACTTTTTGTCATCTGATGTGAGTTACACGGCTGCTGACATTGCTAACCAAGCTCATATATCCGCACTCATGGTGTTTGCACCGTCCATTTTGAAAATGAAGAACTTATCTAGGCAGCATATGTATGTGCTGTATCGTACATATAATCCAAAGATACAATCAAACAATGCATCGCATGGCGACAGCCCGAGACTAGAAAAGATGAGCGGAAGGCACAAAAGATGCCGCATAAGCTCGTGCTGGCACACATACAAATCGACTAGCTAGAAAATCTAATACTGTATCATTTAGATGTCCACCACGGATCGTACGGATAAGTTCTAATTCGGCGTGTATGTGATGCATCATGAGCCTGGCGACCCAGACTATGAGCCTTCGAGAAGCTAGACAGGATTCAACGATATCTTCCTTTGTCACCTCAGTCGTGCGTGAAGTTGCTAGTGTCTGAATTCACATGTTGACGAGTCTGCGATCCTCACGAGAAGTTTCCATTCTCATATACGGGTCCATAGAATATCCTTCCGCCAACCACTTGCTTTTGTCTTACTCTTCATGGCGCGCCTCGATGCGTGTCTATCATAAGGAGATCTGGCGATACAACTACAGCAACCACGATACCCTCATATGGTTGGTGAGTCTGGCCTGGGGATACCGCACTCGGCAGGCCTCGCGTAAGGATCATTCGAATTCCAGTCGAAAGAATTAGTGATAATCGCGCCATCGCGGCTGGCTGTCCTGAGGTGGAGCGAGCGTTCTGTGGAGGCTTTCCCGTAGACGTGCGTCACTCTATACGAAGACATTGCCTCGCTCTTCTTGGTTGGATGTCGCGCCGCTGCAGAGCAGACGGTCTTGATACCAGCCGCGATGTCAGGAGACGCTATGCTAGTCAGAAAGCTTGTTCCCTGATGCGAATCGCCTTGTACAAGTCCCTTTTCCTTCTTGATACTGTCGCTCTCCTCGTCGGAGTCGCAAAGGAGGAAGGTCGACACATGTTCTTGTGGAAGCCTCTGTCTGTGAGGCGTTTCACTTGATGAGGCGATTCTCAAAGGTGAGAATACTGAATGCAGCTTTGAAGCCATGATGCTGGTGGACGATCCCTTTGCACCAAATGTTGACTGCGGCATGTTTGAGACTTACATGTCACTAGTGTGCACATCCTGCTTCCTACCTACCACAAGCGACAGGCGAATGAACGTGCTGTAGGTGCTGCATCTCATTACTCCAAAATAACCCTGTCGAGCGTGTCTGTTAGGACCAAAGTGTCTGAAGCCAGCGAGTAGAGCCCGAGATGGAAGCTACCGCGTGTAGTCATACGGCTCGTCTAATCACTCCGAGAGCCAGGTCAAGTGAGTTAGCCCAAGCATGGCGGTAGTACTGTACAGTATGGATCAAATGTTGCTTCCTCTTGGCAACACACTGCTTTTGTTTTTTTAATTCGACCCTCACAGGCTGGGCCCAAAGTCGTTTTCACTGTGTACATGCGACCTCAATCAGAAGTGCGAGAACGACTGCTGTTGAAGCCGGTTATGGATACTTGGGAGTAGCTCTTGATTACGTGCTGCCCCTCGCACTGTCATATACTATAACGACCCCTCTTTTTGGTTTGCAAATCAACCGCTACAGCCATTACTAGAGGTTTGCGAAGACCCATCACAGCAATTTTCGGCTTCTCAAACATTGAGAATGTCTGCGAAAGAGGAATCGACATACATACACAACCATCTCGTATGTATGCTAGTTGTTGGGGTGAAGTGTGCATGCCAGGAACAAATCAGTAAGGAGACGATGTGCAGGGACCCCATATCGTGCCACGTCGCTTCTTGGCAACTGCGCAAACCAATTGACCATCAAATTTGAACACCCGATAGCCAATTTTGGCTCCATGCGTTGGACGAATCCAGGTACAGCTAGTTTACCGTCCCCACAAAACGCCCTGGACATCATCAAACACGGCAGTTTCGAAGTTTGCGTGTGGCCGCTTATGACTCTGCCGGAGAACATCGGCGCAAAGACCAGAAATCAACTGCGATGACGGTTTCTTTGTCCACCATGACCGGATTCCAGGGTCGGATGCGGCTGCATAGTGCAATTGCGGGCTTACCAGCGTTTGGCCTTTTCCGATGTAGTATGACCACCACGCCTTATCAGGCGGAGTCGAAGCATTAAATCGTTATCTTCATCGGTCGGAGCACCTTTGAAACGTCCAGAATATTTCTCTGCTCGGCAGCAGGCTTTGGATCTTGCAGTTGCTAATGTAATTTTCAAGAGCATGTTGTGTCTCTCGAATGCTTTCTCGATTGAAGTCCACATATGAGCCGGCTAATCAAAGTCGAATGATCAAGAACAATTCGTCGCTTCACAGGGGCAAGCAAGATGCATTGCTTTGTAGCTGCTCGAACCGTATGAGAAAGAGTAGACGTTGGTTAGGATCAACAAACAGCTGCGGTCTACGAACCACAAGACATCGAATTGGCTCACTTCGAAGCTCAACACAAAGTCTATAATGGCCTCTATTCCGTATTGTCGTACTTGAGGGCAATGAAATCCCATTCCGATAGCTATTCTCGGGTAGTAGGCTGCATCAGATCACATTCGGATTGTAGATCACTCGCAACACCATGGCTCCCGTGTCGTCGGACAAGGTCGTCTTTACACACGACAAAAAGGCCAAAGAGAAGGTCCGGAAATGTGGGGCAAGCGCGAAACGTGCAGATGGGCGAGGGAGCACAGGTGTTCTCGGCCGTCGTCCACTTCAATCCAACTTACGGTCAATTAGATGGAGCTGTCCACGTCCCGGACGGCCAAAGCATTCCCGACGTGAATCGTTTTGTAGGTCTTAGCACAGAAGCCTTCTGCCGTTTGCATGAACGGCTTGAACTGACGTGCATTCGAACCAGCTGGCGGAACTCGTCAAGGGGATGCACGGTATTGGACGCCGACGACGGGTCACACGCCGTCGACGGAAGAGATCAACGTCCGAACCTGGTCAAAGTACGGCGGCGATCGGCGACACAATCGAAGTGGGGGTGGTCGGAAGCAGCGTGCGGGGAACGCCCGATACCGTGGGATACGAAGACGCAACGGCGAAGGAAGTCGCAAGTGTGGATGTGGATGCCCCACACGAAATCGAGGCCGATGACGACGGCGCCGCTGTTTTTGGCGGCACTGTATCGGGCGTCCAGCAAGACGACGCTGATGTAGGCGAAACCCCCAGCAACCCAGCAGAACATGAACAACGGACGGATTTAGCGCCACTCAACCACGATGGCGAGGGCATGATGGAGGATTTTTCCATGAGCGACGCTGACACTGCGAGTGCGATCGGCGCGGCTGAGGAAGGTTCTTTCCTCGGGCTGCCTGAGATGGACTTGTGCGACATCTTCGGGATGGAAGCTTGCGCGTCTACGTTTGTGTCAGTTGGTGACAGCAAGCTGAGTATACTGGAAGGACAGTCAAGCGATACCATTCCTGGTCAGAACAGGTTGGAGGTGGAGTTATCGGGCGAAACGCGGAAGGAGGGTACGGCGGCAGCCGAAATGGCAGCTTTAAGCTACCAGCCGAAAGTTCCACAGACGCGAACAATTGCTGTCGCACGTGCCTATAGACCTGACAGGAGTTCCTTCAAGATCCACCGGTTCTTTTGTCGGGTTTCTCAGCGGATCCGGCTTGCAAGATATGGAGGGGAACTGAACACGGAACATGTCTGATAAATAAGGCGAGGTGTCAAAGCTGTTTAAGGAGATTCTGGCGCGACGGCGTCATGCAGAGGTTAAAGCGTAGGGCCGCTATGTACGTAGGGTGGCTTATGCGATTCTTAGTTCACTGAGACTCACTCACCTATTGGAAGGGAAATTCGTACAACTATAGACCAGAGTTGCAGTGATCGTGTTTAAGGCCCAAAACTGAGCAAGTAGGGTTGGGACAAAGGGACTTGGTAGTCTTAGTTGGGAAAATCTCAGCCAAGCAACGTCGATTGATTCATGATCTTTGTTGGTATCCCTATCACAGGGTAGTTGGCTCGCACGGTGGGTTGACGAAGAGGTCTATTGGATTCTATTCACTTCTGCGTAAGGTGGAAAAAGGAAAGGTCCAACCTTAGGTTGGGCAGGCCGCGATTATCGTAAGTATGGTCTGCAAGGGGCTCCTGTGCGGGCATGCTGCCTCGAGGTCGAATTGGACTTCCAATTCGACAGAAACCTTGATTGTATGTAGCGATTCCCTCCACTGATGAGATTTCGGTCCTCCTACAAGAAGTTGATTCGAAGCCACAGCACATAAGTGGCTCACAATTAGGGTTGAGGATTTAGTCCGCAGATTTCACGATCATTAGAGAAACGAAAGGTACAATAAGACTACTTGGATGGCACATCGAGTGTTCCTATGTTTTCCCCTTGGTAGTTATAGACTAGGCCACGAGCATGGGATCAAAATTGTCTCTGACAGTCGATCATGAGATTCAATGCAAAACACAGCTAACGGACCATTCCATTTATCCATCACTCAATTTTCAGTACATATCAACCGCCTACCAACCTACAAAGTTTCCAAATTGCAATTACCTTATTCACAATCCAGTATTGAACTGGAAAGAAGGGCCCAATGGACTGCGGAGAAAACTTGAAAACTACGAATTGTTCGTTCGAACCCCCGCTGAGTATTTATCAGTTCAACAAAGTTTGAGTTTCAAACTCCTGTCAGGATCGACGAACAGTTTCGAGCTGACCAATAGAGCAAGAAATTCCGGCTGTCCCGATTTGTACGCATCTTCCACAGAAGCCTGTAAAATCGCTGATTGCTCTTAGACAAAAGTTAGTGGACTTTCTACAAACTGAGGATGTACTCACTCATTTGAGTGACTCCAGCACTCAATAAACTCATAAGGTTGTCCGGATGCGTTGCTTGCTTCTCTGGGTTCACTGGCCATGCTTTCTCAAAGGGCTGGCCGACCTGGAGATGGAAATCGGACAAAAATTGATGAATTGACATCGTGGCCTCTCCAAGCAAGTGTGCAGGTTTCATTGGATGCTGCCAAAAGTTGTCCTGATTTTCATTAGAGGCGAAAATAAGAGATTGAGCGCATACAGTACTGTACTTACTAGATCACTCAATCGACAACGATAAATATATCGACCCGCATCTATTTCTCGCACGTGTAACAGCAAGAAGTAAACCAAGTGTAACAGCTAAAGGTTCCTGCTTAATCTTCTGGCCATCTGAGCTGTTGGTGCATATCGCCATGTCAAGCGTTTGAACCACGCTTTCCAGACTGTGAATGATCTGGCTCTGTATCATGCGCGGAACTGGGACCGTTGCATGTCAAGGTGAAGATGGATCATCGACTGGTCGCATGTCCAATGCTTCTGCTCCGGGAGAGAATAGGATGCGATTCCGTATCATACATAGAGCAGTGTATGGCTCCAAACATGCCTGAATAAGGGGATTCTGCAATTGTCAGGCTCAGATAGAATACTACTTGCTAACGTCACGTAAGGGTATCCTACCTGGTCAATGAGACCGGCGGCTCGCAAGAATGGCCTTAGATGTGGAATCTTGTCGCATGTCGCTTGCATTGCTAAGGGGATACAACCGTTCACATAGTCTGCAATTGATCCACTGCGTGCAATTCCATACAGGAGATACTGTGCCAGCCTTAATCATTCTTCACAATAGAGAACGTCTCACGCTCGGTTCCGAGGTGTAAATTTTCAAAATCTATCAGAAGCCTCTTCAGGTATTCTCCATCTGTCCCTGTCTCAGAGTCAGTTTGTACTAATCGGTGTCCTGTGAAAGCATCGTACATTTATCAAATGAATACACACTTGGTATTCGAGGTAAACAGCTGTAAAGGGGTTGACTGTGACAAGCTGTGCACTGCAAAATCTTGCTTTCGTTGCGGTTACACTTTACCCTAATTAGCAGCCAGAAGCAAGCTGACAGATCTTCAGTATGGTCAGCAGTGGCATAATGAATGGGGATAAGTATGTTGGATTGACGACTGTGTCTGGATAAAAGGATGCTAGAAATGCGTTGAATAATATGCAAGAACCGGTGATGATGAGTATATACAAGACAGAACCCCGCTCGGACCGGGATGGGACGGAATACCTCAATCAAGCACAATAATCACCTTTTGATCCATGGACCTCAGTGGTGTTGCATGAAAAACAACATCGTTTGTCTAACAACTTTGTCCCACCTTCGTGATGCTGCTAGCGGCCATACGGATGATCTGTCAGTTTGTAGGCGCGCGGCACGACGCAATGGGGACTTCATCAGTACGCCACTTTCCTTCTGGTTGGCGCAGAAGCCGGTCCGTCGTGTGAGGTGCTTGCCAAGGTCCAGAGCCATTGGCTACTATAGGGACCCACCAAATTCACCCGAATAATCCGAATGTTTTGGAAGCGCCTGCAGTACAGTCGGGTACAGCAATAGATAGGAAAGCATCGGAATCTACGCCACTAGCATCCCCTGCTCCCCATACGGTGCGTGCCCTATGCCATCCTCTTCGGATGATCCCCGCTTCATTGCCGCTGTGGTCGTCACCCCTGCAATTTACGGTCGGCGCTTGATCAATGTGGCATTTGGTCTATAAATGAGTACCAAGAGCCGCCTCTCATTAACATCATCTAAACCGTCCTGATCTTGCATAGACTTTTTACTGCACGCTTTTTAGTAGAACTGAACTTACATCGACATTTGAATCGTCGTCTTTTACTCAAATCCCGCACGATGCCCTCAGATAAGGATCGTCTATACATCGCCCTGTATGCCAGAGGAGGCGCACCGAAGATGCCAGGTCTTGAGGACACGTCTGGCCTTCCTCCCACAGCATTTTTGTGCAACAAGACTAATAAATGTGTAGTTATCATTGGGCGTACATCGTAGGCCCCAAGACGGAGTCAGTTGACAGCTACGGGAGACGGTATCATGCTAAGGAGACGATGACTCTCGAAGGTACACCTCCAACGCTGAAGTCGCGCTGGGTTTTTGAAACCCGTGAAACTTCAATGGCGCCTACGTCCATGCTTCTGATCCGGGTGGTTGTCGCCAAAATCAAGGACAGGCATCGGCTTCAGTCTATTTTTGAGGGCACGCCTCTTCGACCAGAAGTCGAAGACTGGAACTGCGTCGGATGGGCAAAGGAGGGATTTGAGAGTGCACTTAGAGATGGCAATGTTCTCGGCACCTCTGCCGTTAGCTGGAAGTCGGTCCGTGACACAGCCATGTGGTATATCGAGAAGAAAAAGACCGAGCATCGGTTTGATGGAACTGTGATTTGTGACCCAACCAAGGCGCCAACATGGGACATGTTGGAGAACAAAGAACTTTCGCCATAGCCGCGAAAGCTGACCAACGCGCAGCGACACAATAGAAAACTGCCAAGATCCAGATAATGGTCATTTCAAGTAGCGCCGAAGTAGTTGCGACGTATACTTTCCATCCTCAGCTCATACGGCATGGGAGTCAGAAACTTGTCCACCTCTTGCTGCCAGAACGGATTCTGGGGGCTCACAAACCACGCAGACGTATATTCCCAGTAGGAGGGCAGCCAGCCTGCCGTTTCCCAGTCGACAATGCCGACGACATCATCGCCCTTCACTAGCACGTTGAAGCTGCTCAAATCTCCATGTGTGAAGGCCAGATCTTCATCCAATCGACGGTAGAAATGAAGGAGTTCCTGGAGATCAGGAGGCTGGTTCTCATACCGAACTTCAAAATCGGCACCATTAGCAAGCTCCTTATGGAAGTCCTGTACCGCAGCAAAAGGACCCCAAAATGACTTGAAAGGCAGGCGACAGTCGTAGATAGGACCACCGTCAATATTAGCGATGCCGAGACCCTCTGTCGGGGCGATAGCGCGCAGTTGGGAAACCATGCCGCATAGCTGATTGAGTATCTGTTTTTTGGATGCCTCTGACCGTTTTTCCCAGCCCATCCATGCCATCTTGCCATCAATCTTGCTCATCACGATGTACGTCATCCCTCGGTGGACGAAAGCGGAGTAAACCTTGGGAACTGGAACAGATGTGTGTTGAGCGACGAACTGCATCGTGTGTGCCTCGGCCAGACTTGCGTACGGTTTGACCTTGATGCAAATCCCAAACACCGCAGGCAGACCGATCTGTGGCTTCCAGATATGCTTAAAGTATTTATTCGTCTTGGTCCATACTACCAAAAGCGTCAACACCCGGACTAGACGCCCGGCGTTGATCGGTTTGGTTTCCCCCATTCGTTCGTCGCGTCGGGTTTCTCCGACTCGTTTGTACGGAAGGTTGGAAATGCTGCCGATTTTCGGTCCACGGATCGCGATCTAATTATGAGAGCTTTGGCTGCAGCGTGCTGGAGGTCTGGGACATAATGCACGTCGGAGGTGGTTCAACTTGAGTTGAAAATCAGCGGAGGTGTCTGGTGGTAGAAAACCTTTAGTTGTGTACGATTTGATTTGATTTGATTTCATTGATTCCTACTCGGTTTTGGCCGCTTTAGTCAGCAGCTATGCCCGGATAGCGGGGTTTGGCCAACAGCCGACGCGCTCCGGACGTTGATCCGCAGCGCCCCACTTCGCCAGTGCAAAACACCGACCAGCCGTCTCCAAATCTCCCACTTTGCTCTCCAACCTCATCTACCCCTGGCGGCCACCAAGTGTAGTTTGCGGTTCTCTACTAATGTACATGTGTGTCTAGGCTCTATTGAGGTCTTTCTCCTCGTACAACGGTTCAGCGTACCTACAGTCTCCCCCCAATGTTCAGCTTAGTCTGGTGTGCGACTCGATCCCGTGTTGCCCAAGGATCTCGGTCTGTTCTATGAATCGGATTGCCTTGGCGGCTGCTTTGCGCTTGTTCAGTATGACCCGGAGATTGTGTCGTCCTGGGAGGGTTCCGAATGCCTGGCGCCGGAGTTGTCAGAACCTGCGGCATCGCAGCAGGATGTG